AAAAAATATCTCAAGGTGATTAGAAAATAAAGTTTTTTTAACATTTTGAAAGAATGACTTTGCATAATCGCATGTCAAATCAAAAGTTGAATTGATCAATTTAATTTCTTATTTGTTCATTTTTATGGTAAATTAAGAAAAGTGGGACAACCTATCATAAATTTTTTTAAAAGGCTCGCTTAAGTGCCTTTATAATGAAATACTTTGAAAAAAATTTATTTAATAGACTTGTTTGTATTTATAACATGACACTTTAGAACAAGGTCCAGTATAAGTTTTTATTTTGATTTTTTTATTGTTTCGAAATTCTGCGGTAGTAAAACTAAGTTCTAATTCTGCGGTATAAGCAGTGGTATCAAGCACAAACATAAAAAGTTGCTACACTATAAAAATTTGATACAAACTAACAAAAAATTTGATTGTCCGGAAAAATACTTGGTTGTCTACTTTTCAATTCTTATCATTTCAGCCGATCGGTGTTGATCGGCAACTTCTAAATAATTATTTTGAGTGCATTAGACATTTTATTATATGAACTGCTTGGTGTAGGTAATTTATAAGTTATTTGAATTCTTTTATTTGAGTGCTAAATGGTATAATTTTTATTGCATCAAGTTTTTAAATTTTTTAAAGAAACTTTAAAAAACCCAAACCAAATATTTCTTTTTTAAATAATTTATCTTTTTATATAATTTTCAAAACTTTTTTATTACCCCTAATTGTGAATCTAAAGAACAACATTTTTGAGTCTATAAATCAATTCCGCTCAACAGCATTAACTTAATTTTAGATTTTTTCAAAACACAACATTTCTATCAGTTTTCACAAAAATATTAGAATTCCGACCAAAAAAAATCTTATAATGAAGAAAAATTGCCAATAAACGATCAGAACAGATCGTATTATTAAACTATAAAGAGTATTTATTTTAAATCTTATTTAAATTTGAAAAAGCAATCGTGATTTGAAGAAAATTTAAAAAAGAAATATTTGGTTTGGGTTTTTTTGCTGCAAACATTTTTATTTTATGTTACGGCAAAATTTATTATTTTAATTTTTTTCGTCTTTTTATAATTCATTTTTATTCAAGAAAGGAAAAAAAATTAATTAAGAAATAAAATAACCTGACACAGAATGTAGCAAAATAAAACTTAATTTTAATTAATAAAGTACACTGTTTTAAACCTTTATCAATTTAGTAAATAACATACTTAAATTTTATCTTTCCTTAATAGTCTTTTCTAATTGAAATAAAGCAATAGCATGCCTTGTTTTAAGTAAAAAATGCTTAATGCATTAGCTTAACGCAATATTTGAAATGAAATAATTAAATTTAATATTGCATTTTAAGAAATGTTTGGTATTAACAAGTTTCTTTTTTTTCTCTACATTTGCATAAATAAATATGTTAAATTTTTGAATTTTTAAAATGATTATTTTTAAAATTTCAAATTGCGGCTTTGCAACTACAAATGATTTTTTATCTTAAAAAAAATTAGCGAGTAACAAATAAAAAAATTACGTTAATTTATTTACTTTATCTATTAAAAGTTTATTAGTTTATTATTTTATTATTAAAATTATATCGTTTATTTAAAAAATAATCTCTGCGATTTAATTTGCATTATAAAAAAAAAGTTTAACCTACGTTTTGTACAAATTTTTGATGCAGACCTTTACCTAAAATTTAATTTTAATTAAAAAAAAAAAAATGTTAAGGAAGGAGTACCGAAATAACAATTGTGATAAAAATGAGCCAATTTTTTTTAGAACAAACAAAATTTCAATATTGAATAATGTTTAGTATTATTTTTAAATAAATTTGATAGTTAAGTTAAACTCAAGCATCAACTTTAATTTTAATAAATTTAAATATATTTTTTATATCAAAATTAAGTTATATATTTTTAAAATCTAAATTAAATAAAGAATAAAAATATATATTTTTATTAAATTAGTTTTAAATTAAATCATATATTTTTTATCAGAATTAAATCATGTTTTTATGATCTTTGCTTTAAGATTAAAAAATCAATCATTGCAATAAAATAAGAACAAAATAAAAATAAACTTTTAATTTCATTTGAGTTTTTTTCATTAGTAAATAACACTTATATCAAACATTGTCATTCAAACTTTTGTAACAAATATTTTTATGTGAATGTAATTCAAAAGTTAATGTGATTTTTTTAAAAATTAATTACTTCTTTTATCTTACTGCTTATAGAATAATTTAAAAGTTAAAAAATGATAAAAAGTAGCTTAATCAAAATCACTTACTGCTTAGGTAAAATCGCTTAATGCGTACGTAAATCTCTCTATGTGTAACACTTAAAAACAAGGCCTGAATATTTTATAAGTGAAACTATTAACATAGTTTGTAAAGAGGAATAGTAAATAAGTGAAACTATTAACATAGTTAAGGAATAAACATAGTAATAATATAGAGTTAATATAGTAAAGAAGAAATGTCATTGAAAGACAAACTAAACAACTTTTACATTTGAAAAAAATATATTTATATAAAAAAAATTTAATAATAGTAATATAAAACAAGTTTATTAAAATATTTTTTATAACTTTATCTTATATAAATGCAAACTGAATTTTAAAGTTGTATTTAAATTAAGTTATATTACAATTGGACATTTCTATTTCTGTGCGTGATTTTTTATTTTTCTTTATTTTTACAGTTAGAAGCCGGAGCTTTGAGCAATATGCATTCTAGTATGATTTACTTAAAGAGCAGCTATAACAATAATGTTTTTTTCATATTTTAGGTTACCTGAATGTTTAAATATATTTTTTTATCATTTATGTGTGCGTGTGTGTTTAATGTTGCAATAGTTTGAAAAATATACAATAATTTTCTAGACACTATACTCTAACTATAAATATTTGATAACTGCTATTTGTCATTAAAAATATATTAAATATGAGTTGTAGAGATATAATATTTCACTTGAATTACTTACAAGCTATTTATTTTCTTAAGAATAACCACATAATATCGATAAATTCACAACTTCCATACATGAACTGCATTTAAACAATTTCGCATGTACTAACTAATTTATCTCAATTTTAAAGTAATTTACTGCAATTTTAAAGTAATTTACCGCAACCCTTTGTACTATCCTTTCCTTTGAATGTACAAGACCAAATTGTGAAAATATTCTAAGCTTAGGGCTTAATTCCCTCTGAAGGTTTTTCCATATCACTACACTGTCACCAGTAGTACAACTGTCCCGCTGTATCAGTTCTAATAGAACAGCAATTAGTTTATACATTTGTAACAGTTCTTCTGAACTTTGCTTTACATCAAGGTTATAAACTATGTTTGTAACATACTTATAAATTATTGCTCTGTTTTCTACACAAGTTATTAATAGAATCGACCAGTGTTTTATATAGGATTCAAAGCAATCAGAAAATGTGTTCTATCTGACATCTTGAGGCATTATAAGTTGTAACCCCTCTTTTGCTTTTTATATAGCAGCAGCAAAATAGTTGTTTCAAAAATATTTAACAACTTGAACTTTTTGCTTTTTGATGTTGGGAAAGTCAAATTTTTGGCCAATAAATTGAGAATGTAAGTCGAACATCTATACATATTAAAATCATCTTTTCATCAAATTTCCAATTGTTGTCTTATTTTTGACACATTTGCTGCGTTATCAGTTACTACACTGCAAACTTTACAACCAAATTATTTTTCCCATATTTCTGAAGTAATTGAATTGACGGATTTATTGTATCTGCAAAATAGATATCTGAATTCGTTGTTGATACTGTTGCACAAACTATTGGTTCATTATAGATATTGTTCCACCCATCAATACTCATTGTTATAGACTGATCATGGAGTAAACCTGAACAGCTAGTTCAAGCTAGTTAACATAACAATTGTTCTTGTGGACAGTATCTAAAAGTTTTCTGCCAATATCAATTCTATTAGGAAGGTTATATCCTGTGCGTAAAAAATTGATCATTTTGGTAAACTCTTGATGGTCAACCATTCTGAAAAGTAAGTTCGTAGAATAAATCATTCTTGCTATCTGCTCATCAGTTGTTTCTTTTTCAGTTTTTGTGGTTTTAATAAGGTATGAGTCCAATTTAGTCGACACTGTCTTGCCTCTGCTTGGTCTTGCCACGGCTTTTTTATATGAACAAAAAAAAATTTGTTTTATCTACAGTAGATTGACTAGATTCAGTTTTCTTAACAGAATATTACCTAGTTAGTGCTTCCTCAGTAGACAACTTTTATTTTCATCATTTTGAACATCTTTCAAAAAATTACATTTACCAACACTTTTGTGGTTTCTCATTTGAGCAACCAAACCTTGCATTTTTACACTGCAACTTTTATATTCAGCTTTATTACTCTTTTTCCAAACTTTACAGGTATTTCTTCAAACCATGTCTAAACTGCATCTCTTTTTCTACCGACACCAGGCATTTTTGTTTTTAGTTATTTTCCACTAAAGTAGCAAGCATTATAAGTTACATTATTTATTATAAATGAATAATGTAATTTTTAAGAAAAATAAACTTGAAATATATACAAATAATATATATGTTAATTTCATATGTAACAAAAAAGCTTTATTTTAAATTGTAACTTGCAAAATACTATACTTCGGAATGAGTAGTTGCAAAATAAACATGGGCAACTTTTAAATGTTTTGTTTATTTCAATACAAAAAAAAAGTTGATTTCTTGTTATCAATATCCTTTCAAAAGAATTTTTTTTCCGGAATTTTACAGAACCTTCTAATTAACAACTCTAATTTTAATCATGGTTTTTATTTGTTGAATATAAATCATGATTTAAATTGATTTAAATCTACTGGTTTAAACAACCATGCCTGGGAACCAATATAGTGAAGTAGAATATTTTTTTATTACTATTGGTATAACTTTTTTTTAAATATATAATTTCTAGCCTAGTTTTATTATATCTATGTATCTCAAAATATATTTTATGAACATTTTAACAGGTTAAGGAGTTATCTGTTTCTGATGAAAAACCTGTGGCTACAACAACAAATCAAAACAATGAAGGTATATTTTTACTTTTATACCTAATAAATTATTGTATTTTTTATTTGTTCTTTTTTTTTATAGTTTTTATTTGGTTATTGTTTGTATAAGTAACACTCAAGTTACTTATCAATAATATAACAAAACACTATTGTATTTAACTTAATAAACACAATGTTTCATTGCCGAGCATTTCTTTTTTTTTTTTTTTTTTTTTTTTTTTTTTTTTTTTTTTTTTTTGTAAAGCATTTCATTTGTTATAAGCAAAATTCAAAACATTTTTCCAGTTCTTGTTTTGAACTGAATTACAATAATTTACAAAATGAGAGATTTTCCACTTTGTATTTCTATTTTCGTTACAATTTTTTTTTTTGTTTGTTTTTTTTGTTTTACCTAACTTAATAATGTAATTTTTTTTTAATATTTTGAATTGGGAGGTATGAATTTAGTGTATACGTAATAAACAAAACATTGAAGAATGACATAATATATTAATTTCATGCATTTTTATTTTTTCAGCATGTTTTCATTTTTCCAGTTAGACTTATGACAGTTGACAGATTTCTAAAAATAGACAGTTGTTAGACTTATAAAAATAGTTTTTGTTCAATGTATTTGTCTAAGCTATTTTCAAAAGATTTGTGCTTTGTTGCATAACAATATATCTGGGAGTGAATTTTATGTGAAAGCAACTATTGCCAAAAAAAATAATACCCTTGAACATAGTTTTTTGATTTCTCTGCGTTGTTTTAAATTTTGGTCTGCTCAACGAAAAATCATTAAATGATGTGCATTTAATGGTAGAACAGAGATTAAAGTTTCTGAACATTGTGTGGCATTTTTAAAATAGGTATATGATTTTTTTCTAACATTTTGATATCTTTTTAAGTAAGTTGCAGCCTTCTGAATAAGGATTGGCATTTGGCAATGCTGACCTAATTGCCAACCTAAAAGTGTTTAAGGTTGCAAAAGAATAGCCAACCTCGTTTCTATGTTTTTTGGTAAAACCTTTGTATCTAATTTGTTTTGCTAACCTGCTGTCGACCTCTAAAAGATTGAGGTTGGCAAATTATTGTCAACCTTATTTTTCCTAATTCCAAAGGTTGAAGATGTTGACACTGTGTACTCTATATGAAAGCACACACAAATTTTATTCCATATAGTAGCTTTTCTAAAGAATAATGATTTTTTTTACATTTCATTTGTTAATGACACTGGTGAAACCTAACTTCTGAGTAAAGATATAAGATTTAGTAAGCTAGAAATAATGGAGCTTACCATCAGACAACACCTTTTTGTATTGATAATTCTTGCAATAAATAAATAGTACTAAGTAGTGTGATATTAGGTTGAGTTCTAAGAAGTATGAAGCAAAAGACTTATAGAGATCATTTCATGGTTGAAATCACCTCAAGGAGAACAAGGAGAAACTGAACACAAGCTGAGTCAAAAACAAGACACAAATCAATGAGCAAAGGTAAGTGATTATGGTTGCCTTGAAAACAAGTCACAAAGTTGATTATCTGAATAAGAGATTAGAAATGCAGAAATTATGAGCTTTATTGCCAGTAGGGTCAGTGGTGTTAAAGCCATTCAGTGTGATAAGCATTAAAGTTACTAATGGAAACAAAATTTGCAGAGGGGTAAAGAAGGGTAGGAAAAGGGTATAAATTTGCAGAGGGGTAAAGAAGGGTAGGAAAAGGGTATGACCAATTTGATCATCAATGACATCAAAATCAATTCAATCTTGTTTGCAGAGGAAAAAGAACAATAAAGAACAAAACAAAAGGTAATTGAGCGAGGAGCTGCTAAGTGGAGGCACATAAAAAATGGTTAAAGGATTTAAACCTGATTTCTTAACAAATATGTGAATTGATGCTCAAGTATATGCCCAAGCCAAATATGTGAATGTTTGAGTCCTTCTGAATCAAAGGATAGTATCCAGAACACTGAGAAGAAGTAGCAAAATTCAAATAAGTCTCGCAAAGAGCAAGTATGTCTGGTAAATTTTGAAGTGGTAAGACTCAGCTGATGGAAAATTACTTCAAAGACCACATATACTTGTAAAAGATATATTGAAATGAATAGGTAGTGATGATTTTTATGTTTAATGTTTTTTCATTATCTTTTGTCATAATTTAAGTTAAAGAGGACTTGGCTTAATCATCGAGCATGATGCTCTAACCAATGAGCTACACTATTTCTTTAGTCTTGCTAATTAACCCAAACTTTTAACTTAAGGCTCCTTTTGTGGCTCCAACAATGCACACCAAAAGCACTAACAGGGGCACCATCCATGTGCATAGGACTTTTAATACTTTGATATTTTACAGCTGGTGATGGAATAAGCTTCTCTTAGAGATACGATAGAGTTTGGGAAAACTCACTACCACCCAGCCTCAGAACCATTAAATGGAGTTTTAGAGCTATACTTTTATAAGGAAATATCAGGAAGAGTATTTCTGTATGAGTACCTTGATAGATTGAATGGGATATTTTTGGAAGGATTAGGAAAAACATCAGCGCTCAAAATAGTTTTTCAAAACTTGCAGATCAAATGTAATTTTTTCACTAAAATAGGTTATTTTCCCTTGAATTTTTCGAAATTTCCCTAAAAATAGCTGATCGTTGATCGGCCGTTATTTCGAGCGCTCAAACATTACACCTAAAGGAATACTGGAAATTAAAATGAGCATAAGTTTTATAGATGTAATCACTAGTTGGTAACTGAGCTAACATTATACCAGATGTTCAAAAGAACAAAAGCATACATATAGTAACTTACTTGAGGAAACACTCCGCCAGAGGTTCAGACAGAACACAATCGTGCATATAGGAGCTTATGGGTAGATAAACACTACTTTTGATGTTCAGATAGGACACAAACATACAAATAGCAACTAAAGGGTGTGTGACAAACCTAAAGTTTTTTTAGGTATTCCTTTTTTTTTTTTCGGCACTAGGAAGGAAGGGAGGGGAGAATTTCTTGTGGTACCCCCTCTCTTCCTCCAGTTAAAACCGGTGCCACAAACTATGATTTTTAAACTTGCAACTGTGTTCACCTTTATTTTTTTATCTTCCTATTTTTTTTATTGTGTTCACTTTTATTTCTTTATTATTTGAAAGTAGTTGATTTAAAATTGATTGTATCTGCAATTAAAATTGATAAGTAGCCGATTAAAAAAGAATCTCATCACATAAGGCATTTTTTTGAATTCATTATTTAGTAATTGTTTTATTTAATATTTTAATAAAATACTAGACTATTTGTAAATATTTATTGAAATTTTTTAAAGTATTTTAAACATTAAGTTACAATATTTTATTAATTTCAATTTTAGGTGGTATTAATTGTTTAAAATATTTTAAATAATTTTTAGTTTATAATTACTAAAGAACACCATTTTTGAGTCTTTTAATTAATTCCGCTCAACAGAGTTAACTTAATTTTGGATAAAAAATTTTGAAAAAATGCCTTAATCTACTATAGATTCCAGCTCTGATCGGTTCTAGCACATATTAATTTGATATAATTGTCAAAACTCAACTATTAATTTTCACAAAAATTATTAGAATTCCGACCAAGAAAGAGCTTATAATTGAGAAAAATTGCCAATAAATGATCAGAACAGATCATATTATGAAACTGACGTTTATTTCACCTAAAAAGAGTATTTATTTAAAATCTTATTTAAATTTGAGCAAGCGATCGTGGTTTTGAGAAGATTTAAAAAAAAAAAAATATTAGGTCTGGTTTATTGCGCTTCAAACATATTTATTTTATATTATGGCAGAATTTATCTTTTTTTTTTTTTTTTTTTTTGTCTTTTTATGATTCACAGTCCTGATCATTTAATGGAAATATATTGTAGTCAGCAAAATATTATAGAGACACTATAATTCTTAAAAATTGCCTTAACTACACTGAGTAGTTAAAAAAATTTATATTTTTCATTTTTCTTTTTTTAAATTTTAATTTATTTTATTATATTTAAATTAAATTTATTATTAAATATTAATAAATATAAATTTATTTTAATAAATTTAATTTAGATTTTTTTAAAAATTTAAAACGCTCTATTTTACAATTTTTAAAAAATTTTCAAACTATGTTAAAGAAAAGAAAATTTTTTTAAATAAATTTCATTTAAGTTACTTTAAAATGTTCATATTTACCTGTTTTGTTTATTTATTTATAGTTTCAAATCAATAATTTTTTCATTTGGTTGAGAAAGTGCATGCCAAAATGTTTTTAAAAAATCTTGATAGTTCTTACTTATTTTTTGACCATTAAGAAATTCAATCATAAACAATCGCTCTCTCATTAAAAAAAACAATAAACATAAGACAAATGTTTTAAAGAAGAAGAAAAAATCAGTTTAAATGAGTATAAGTTTTTTATAATAAGTTTTTTTTTTCTTCAAACATTTAAATTTTATTTATATATATTTTTTTAATTGTTTAATTTAAAGATATTTTATAAAGATTAAGACTTGCAACAATTTTTAATGTGGTTTAAAATACTCTACTGGTGTAATTAAACTTTAACAATGTAAATATGTTTATTAAGTAAAGTTACATTTACTTGCATTATGCTTTTCCATTATGTAACAAAATCTCATAACAAGGCCTGCTATTAGTAACAGTTTAGAAATGCTAAACTGCATATAAAGTACATATTTTAAAAAATTACTGAAGTTTTTATTCTAAATATCTATTCTATTTTTTATAGATACATTTTTATTTCAATTAAACTTGGACAAAGTGCAAAAACGCATTGTAAACATAGTTGGACCTGCTCTTGCAGCCAGCCTTTAACCATTGTTACATCGTCATAATGTTGCTTCTCTTTCTCTTTTCTATAAATACTATAATGGGTGCTGTTCTAAAGAGCTAGCGTCTCTTGTGCCATCTACTAAAATTTATTCTGGTGTTACTCGTCATTTGCTTAAGTCTCATCCTTTTACTGTGACTATTCCTAAGTTCTCCATAAATTCTTATTCGTCTATTTTTTCTCCTTGATCAACATAGACTATAGTGACTATAGTGTGCTATTGTAGTCTCAAGTTTAATGCCAAGTTTATTGTTTGTTTTTTTATAATTTTTCGCTAACAAGTTTAAGTTAGTTCGCCCTATGAAAACATAGTACTCCGTTTTGTATAAACTAGAATTTTGAAGACCAGATATTTCTCCAGATATCGCAATTTGCGATTGCATTATTCAACCTTTAAGGGGCAATTTGTCATGTATTTATATAGCTTTATTCAAGCTTTGCAACCTAAAGTATTTAACACAAAATTAATTTTTTATTTTACTTTATTATTTATAAAAATTATTTTAAGTTGTATTATATAAACAAAGTTTTCCAAAATGTTTTTTCTTGTAATTAGTCAATTTAAACTAACAAGAGAAGTAAAAACAGGAAAATGCCAGCATTAAGAACAGTCTTTTTATTGAGATATTTTAAAGATCAAAAAAGTAATTATAAAGTAGCGGCTTACAAATAATTTTTACTGGGGAGTTACTTGATGGAAATTAAAAATAATTGTTACTGGGGAGTTACTTAATGTAAAAGTATTTCATGTTTTTATAAAAATTTATTTTGATTTTTTTTTTCTTTTTTTTTTTTTCTTTTGAAAAGTAAAAATAAATAATGATGAAATAAAATTTATGAAGTAATTTAGTTGAATCAATCAATATGAAATCAATAGGTTGAAGTCATAAAACCTAAAGATGGTCCAGCTTTAATATTAAAATATTGAAAAAAATAATTTTTTTTAATTATGTGTTCTCTGATGATCAAAATCACTTTATTATATAATAAAGTACAGTTTGGCCATGGCTATATCTATACATAAAAGTAAATAAATTTAAATTTCATTTTTAAATTTCTTGCTTCAGAAAGAATAAAAATACAAATTTTTACATTAAAATGTTGATTTGTTTAGGAGATATCTGTTAGAATGTCAAAAAGGTTATACCTGTTCTAATACCTGTTAAAACATCAAAATGGCAAAACTCAGAACATAAACTTAAACAAATTTAACAAAATTATCTTCTTTTTTTTCTTTTTCTTTTTTATATTGAAATTTTTTTTTAATTTAAATTTAAATTCAGCTCCTCAAGGCCATGAAGGCCACTACAGTTCAAGGAGGCTACTTTTAGTTGTGGTTACAAGCCTCTCAACACAATAACTCCGAAACACAAGCCTTGACAAACAAGAACGCTGCCTGGAGAAACAAGTTGTAGTTGTATTTAATTACAAAATTTACAAATAGATAAAAAAGTTACGAATTTTAAGTTCTAAATTTACTATTTTAAAATTTCATAATAATTTTACAATTTACAATTTTTTTGTTCCAAAAATTAACCTAAATCTAATACTTTAAGAGATTTTTATATGGGATCTCACTTGTTATCATTCTTCAAAAATTTAAGTCTTTAAGTGGTTGATGATACGAATTATTGTAAATATAATTTAATAATATCAACGTTCTAGCAGCTTTGAAAAGAAAATGTTTTGAATAAGTATTTTTTTGAAATGCACTTTAGAAAGACATTTGTTCAGGGTTTTTTTTACTTATTTGTCTCATCCAGACCTTTACCTATTTTCCTCTATATAATAATGCAATTTAAAAAAGTCTTCAATTTTATGAAATTGAAACATTTTTATAGCTTTAGCACCCAATTTCCTTACCTTTTATGTTTTAAAATCTAGTGTTATTAATTTTTCTGCAACTATTTCATAGTTTTATACCTGTTAAAATATAAAGCTTTGGTTCTATTATTTTATAAGATTTTTTTTTTATTGATTATCTACATTAAACTTAACCACAATCTCAGTCACATCAATGACCAAGAATGTGACTGTTTACTATATTGTGAAAATCTTCCATAATGTGACCATTGGCTAGATCACAATCTTACAAATTAATAGCAATATTGTTATTAGCAACATTATGCCAAAAATGTTGCTAATGATTTTCCCAAAATTATTTGCTAATAATTTTCCCAACATTTTTGTCAAAAATGGCAGAAATGCAACATTTTAATTTGATCAATTGTTTTGTTTTGTTTTTCAGAAGAGACACCTATCAACTTAGCTGAAGCTTCTCTTATGACAAAGGTTGTTCGTGAACATATTATCAATGTCAAAGCAAATGTTGAAGTGCAGCAGAAAGATCCAAACTCTCCTTTATACTCAGTCAAAAAATTTGAAGACCTGCATTTGTATGAAATGTTATTTTGTAAATCGCTTTTACCTTTTCTTTTTTTTAAGATAATTTAAAATATTTTTGGAACATTAATATTGAAATAATAAAATCAATATTTCTTCTAAATTTACATTTAAAAAATGTTCCTCCTATCATTCCAAACTTCAAAGAGAATTTTCGACACATTAGAAGCCTTTCTGGAAAGCATGTGCAGTCGCATGCCTTGTTCATTCATGTTTAAAGTAATTTCATTAGACACACTGACTATGGCAGTTTGCATCTTATAACTTATAAAGCGTTTCAATAATCCATGGCAAAAAGCTAAACTTATCTACTGAGAAAAAAAATCTAAAAAAAAGGAAACAAAATTGTAACGAAAAGTTAATAATTAAAACAAGAAATTTTAAAGAAATTTTTTTTTTATAAAATTTTTATACAACTTTTCTATTCTTTTTTTAGAGTAATTGTTGTTTTTAGCTACTGAATTTGATACAAGTTGAATGAAAAAAAGTTTTTTTTTCATTCATCATTCACAAAAAGAAAGTTTTAATATGCAATTTATTCACAAATTTTATTAGTCCGTATAATTGAGAAACTAATTTGCTATCTACACCAGAACTATGAAAGATGTTGTTAATTTTTATTCTTACGTTTATTTGTTTTGATGTCTATTCTTTTATATCTTTTAAAAATGTTTTTTCTATATTTGATGTATTTTCTCAATACTTATATAATAGGAAAATTAGAAAATAAATTGTTATTTATTTGCATAATATATTATTTGATTAATAAATTTTTTAATGATGGAATAAATTAAATAAAAGAATGGTTTCTTTTTTAAATGTATTACCACATTTGATGCATGTCTGCATCAAATGCGGTAATATTTACAAGTTGTTTCTTTTATATTTCTAACATTAATACGAATTACTAGAGATAATGAACATAACAATTGCTTTGTTTAAAATGTTTTTAAAAACATAAAAAAACATTTGAAATGGACTCCAAAAAATTTCGTTAAAGTTTAGTAAAATAACAATGCACTAGCCCACTTGCTTTTGGGCCATCATCAATAACAATAGTTCATCAGGAAATAAACTGTCAGGTTTAAATACACAATTTGGATAATACAACAATAGTGCAAACTATTTGAATAGGGGTAGTGAAAATAACCAAATTTTTTATATTTAAATATAGATATTAATCACTTTTTATTTTTTTGCATGAAAATTTTTTTTGAAAAAAAAAATTTTTTTAAAGAATTATTTGTCTCGTTTTCCTGCGCCTTGAAAAACAGTAAAGTTTAGCAAAAACATTTGAAGAACCTATTTAAAAATTGTTGATGTTTCTAGCGCGAATAGTAAAGTATTTCCATAATATACTAAATGAAAAAAGTCGTCAAAAAATTGTATATCATAAAATGTTTTTATTTTCATTATATTCTTATCTGCTTTTTTCCACAACTTGTATCAAATTTGGTAGTGAAAAAGAACAAATGCCCTAAAAAATACAAGTTTAAAATAATTTTTTGTCATCAAATAATTAAGACAGTAACGTTATGATTTGTCAATTAATCTACGCTATATTTAGTTAGGTTAGGCGTTATTTGTATACATTTAAAAATAATTTTCCCTTATTTGTACCCATAAATTTATTAATTATTTAAAAATCTAGTTTTATTTAATTTAATATTTTTTTTATATAAATTATATTAATTTATAAACTATTTAATCAAGTATTGAAATACTTTTCTTTTATATAAAAGAAAATCAAAACCTAAACCCTCAGTCGATGTATGTACACTCCACTGTAGGTATGGCTTTAACAGTCAATTTATATAGGTATTGATGCATATATTTTGAGAAACTTTCTATGAAAAAAATATTCTATGAAAGAAAAAAAAAGTAGCTAAAAAGCATAAATCTACTTCGAAATAAAACTTTTAAAAAAACAAAAAAAAAAAAAAAAGCAACTTCTCTATAAAGGATTCACAACCTTGCTGGCCGTGCCTCATATCTTTACCACTGTAACATTCACAGCACTATGGCGCTATTTTAAGAATTTGAAAAATTAAAATATTAAAACATTTTTTGTATACAAATAATGTTAATATTATGTGCATAATATTAATATTATGTTTTATATTAAATAATTTATAATAACAAATTGAATAATATAACAATTTGTGCGTATAAATAATGAATTTCTTTTCAAACACATGCGATATTTTTCGTTACACAAAATTCATTTTTATTTCCAGATTTTTGCAGATAATTCTTTAAAAAAATTTCTGGATTTTTTCCGGATATTTTTAGAAAAACTTTTCAAACTGAATCTTAAAAACAATTATTTGCAATCAACCATAGGACAGGCAAGGCTTTCCTATCTGGTTCTATTATTCAATTATAAGTGACATGATGAAAGATATTAGTTTTGACGATGTGATTGACCAGTTTATAGGTTTGAAGAAAAACATGGGAAATTATTAAATAAAATAAAGTTTAATGTTAAATAACAATAACTGAGCTTTGTCGTATAGTTCTTAATTTATGTTTTACTAAAATATTGATGTTAAATTGTTTAATTTGTTGTTTTCTTATGTCCTTATTAATTTTTTGACTTATTTTACAGACATTTTATAAAGGATTATATACTCAGTGGGCACAAGGCTGAAAAATGTATTATTACTTTTTAAGACATTATTTAGTCATTTTAAACACATTTCCGTTAGGTATCATTTATAATACATGAACACTCGGAAATGGTTTACAATTATTAATGAAAGTCTTAATGGGTGACACCTAAGGCTTACTGCAATCATCAATAATAGGCAACTTTTTGATTATTGTTTTTCGTTGATTATGTTTATTAGCAATATCACTATTCCTTTACCTACTGCAGCCAGATAAAAAATGAAGTTTTTATTTATTCTAAATAAAATAATTAAAATAAAATCATCAAAACTAGAGATTTAAACATTAGTTAATATTCCAACGACTGTTTGGCGATAGTTTGATCAATATTCCAACGACTGTTTGGCAATAGTTTGATCAATATTCCAACAACTGTTTGGTGATAGTTTGATCAATTTAAGGCATTAATGACTTTAAACAGTGACTATTCTGGAGTGTCAATTACAGCCACAATGCTTCAAAACATTGAGAATATACAGTAACTTATTAATAATGGTCCACACATTTCTTTGTATTAATTTGAAGCCCAAGTATCATTGTCCTACATTATTATAGAAAACTTGCATCACATTGGGCCTGCTATCAGCTTTTAATAGTTTCAAAAGCAGTGTGTATACCTTTTTGCTTGCAGAACATTTAACTAGTTTATATGCTTTTAGAAGTTTTATGTTTAAATAATAACAATACTAATTTTTTTTAATATATTTTATTAGAATTATTAAATTTTTTATTAACTTATATTTTTTCTGCTAGACAAATGAATAAAGTATATATTTTTAATGATTTTCATACATTCTCTGCCAGGACTAGTTGTCCTCTACTGCTGAGCGACCATTAAGTTACACTACTTCATTATATTTTTGTAAAATCTTTTACTTTAAGAGTTCTGATGTGAATTTAAAGTCTACAATTAGCTACTTATGCAATTTATTATCTATTAATGATTTTACTGTAAATGTAAAATTTTGTAAAAGACTTCATTTTATTTAATTTTGGCTTTATTTTAGAAATAGCAAACTTTTATCAGGAGTTTACTCTATGGGTTTTAATAAACCTTCCAAGATTCAAGAAACTGCTTTACCTATGCTTTTGGCAGACCCGTAAGCTTTTTAAATTATGATTTTTGTTGATTTGATTTTATAAAATCTTTTTGTACTGATAAGTGTATGTACAAAGCATTTTATTATAAAAGAAGAATAGTTTGTATGCAAGTGGTACTTATGTTATATAAAATTTAAGATTATATATATATATATATATATAATAGTTTTGTCATATATATATATATATATATATATTTATATATATATATATATATATATATATATATATATATATATATATATATATATATATATATATATATATATATATATATATATATATATATATATATGACAAAACTATATTATATATATATATATATATATATATATATATATATATATACATATATATATATATATATATATATATATATATATATATATATATATATATATATATATATATATGTGTGGTTTTTTATACAAAAATGGTAAGTTTAAGACCTCTACTATAGGAATATATATATGTGTGTATTTATGTAAGTATATGATATACATAAGAGTAGGCCATCATGAATAGCAAAATAATGTTTCTCTAACATCTAAAAAAGTTAATATTAATTTTTTTTCTTTCTTTGCTGCCTTTTTGCCAAATTGAAAATATGTCATTTGATATTTCAATATATGCTATGTAAAAATATGTACTATGAATAAATGCATTAATTTATTTTTTGGACACATTTTAAGTAAGATTATTTTTTGAAGCAAAGTGTGGAATGAAATGAAACTGTAACCTTGTTCCAACTTATCATTTGCATAAACAAAAGCACTTTTATTCTCACTATGGCTTCTAAAAGATCATCTAGCTTGTCTAAAGTTTCTTCAAACTCTAAAAGATTATGATAAGATAAAAAAGTACCTTTCTTTTTAAATATTATTCCTTAATATTACAACCATCCCTCCTAATAGGCGACATATACTCTAAAAAATTTTATCTGAAATATCCCAGAGATATAGGCTAAACATTAAATGAATGAAAATGCTGTTTTATATATACTCTTTATTGTGTTTATTAAAAGAAGTTCAATTAAAAAAAAAAATGGGTTAATTAATCAATTAATCCTATATGTTCTAAATATTTTTTGAAGCAAGTTGTAGAATATACTTTCTAAATAAAAGTTTTGCTCTAATATATACATCTCTTCTAATTTATCCAAATACAGCTGCTGCTTTTGTAACCAATTTAACATCTTTTTACACTTTGAGAATGTAACAAAAAATTATCTAATATCAATTTTTACTGATTATTTTGTATTGCATTTTTAATTAAATTGTCACTTATCTCTTTTAACATAGGTGGTGGAGTTCACTTTGTTGATCACTTTCAGAAAGGAAACAAGAAAGTTGATCACTTTCAGAATGCAAGCAAGAGAACTGATTTAAGCGCCACAAATTTTGACTCTAGATAGCATTGAGTTTCTAATTTTATAAAGAACCACTCTAGTGCATAAAATTGTAAAGTATGTAATCAGTAAGTATTACAATCTTGGTAGATAAAGCTTGCAATAATCAAATGAAGGATTTGATCTGTTATAGTCAGCCATTGAGACAAACTCTTTTCTTGCTAGGTTTTTTTTACCCCCACCTAATTCTATTGCCTAGAATATGTTGTAAAGATACTGTTGATCTTTGCTAGTATTATTTGTTACAATCTCATATCTAGTTAGTTTCTCTGTTTTCTCTGATATCAAATTTGAAAATTGGCAACTTGTGACGCAAAAATGCTTTCCTAATGTTGCCACTAAATGCAGTAGGTCCAAAAGTAGTGCCAACTAAATGCAATATTATATGTCTCAATGATAGTTTTATTAAAATGGAGCATTCACACAAACCATTGAATTGGATATCCTATATGCAGTTCCAGTAATCTTATTACACCATTGGTCATTCTATTTCCTTCAGCACGTATAATTAACACATTATCTAGTGATTTTTTTTGCTTTTTCAAAAAAATCTATAATAGTACCTGTAATAAATTTCTTGATATTTGTTTATGATGCACATTGAGAAACATGACCAAGAAAAATGGAACAAGAATCTTCTTTTAAATTGATATATTTTTAGTGATTACTGCTAATCTTTACTGCTAGTCACTGATCTCAAATAGTAAATTATTATATATTATGTTATATATATATATATATTACTATTCACCTATAAAAGATTTTGCTTTGTGTGATAATGTAGTTCTAAGCAATTGTTATTGGCACCTCAACTTGGCTTGGTTTATTACAGCTTTTCTACCATGTTTCTTTATAATTCCGTAATCTGAAAACGTGGCAGTAGCAATTGCAGCTCCAGTATCATTAGATAGCAACATCAGGTATCTGTCACCTTTTCCGGCTTCTGTTGGAAACCTTATCAAATTCCTACCAGATTCACTATCTAATTCATAGAAATCTGACAACTGATTGTCATCAACATTGCTGAGTGTCATTAACTACCTCTTTACCGGAAATAATTTCTGCACCAAATATGATTCTAACTGATGCTTCCATATTACTTTTGCTAGACAAAAATGGAATAATATTATTTCTGTCTCTTTGTGCTTCTCTTAAGTGCTTTGGTTAATATAAAAGTACTTTTCTTATCCAAAGGACCAAGAATGATATTTTTTTAATTTCTTTGATCTATTAAAAGTTCTTGCTCAAGTACTGAGACCTTTGATTTTCTTGGGCATAGAAAATTAGCAATCAATATTGCTGAAGTCGTTGATTTACTTTTTCTTATCTTTCTCAAGTTATCATGCAAAGATTTTACTTTTTGCTGCATTCTTTGCATTGTAACAGTTGGAATGCAAGGTTTCAACCAAGTGTCTGACATTTTCAGAAACTCTAGAAACTGTTTGTTAAAAAACTTATTTTGTTAAATTACAGCTTCCCATGTCCCAGATGGTCCTGGAAAGCTGTAGTTTAACAAAAGTAAAGTCAGCTGCAGTCTTGTAACAACTCTAGTTTGTGATAGAAATCAAAATATTATTATCTAAATTTTAAACTTGATTTTTCTTAATTTGCAAAACAGAATTCTAGAAATAGATTCAAATTCAATAATTAAATTAAATACTAGTAAAAAAACATAAAGATGGGCAAATGTGGTGATTTAAGGCCCCTAGAAGCAAAGGTGGACACTAAAATAAAACCTAAAAAAAATTTTAAGTCTACTTTACATATCTCAGAAGCAACAATTTATCACTACTCAAAGTTAAACTTTTTTTCACAGCCTACCCTTGTATTCACTGATTGTCTTCAAGACCTGACTGAGTGGGGCAACCAACCACTGTTCATTTTTCCTGACAAAGGGAACAATACTTGATTTCTCCTATAAACAATTCTTGGGGTCAGTCTGGTGAGCGCTAACGTCCAACACCAATGTTATCGCCAATGTCTAACATCTACTGTATATCAAACACATAGCCACCTTAGGTGCAAAAATTGAACTTTTTTAACTAGTTGTTTACAGTAGCCATATAGCTACTATCAATTTCCAGAGTTTCGTATTCTGTTTAAAACGCATTATACATAATACCATTATTTGTTCTTCAAAGTATTAGTTAAATACAAAAATAGAAACTCTTTAAATTAGGGTTTCAAGTCGGTTTTTTTAAAAACAGAGTTGATGAATTACTGAGGGTTTTTGACTTGTTTTAGTACTATATTGCTAATTGTGAGTTAATAAACTTTTTTTAATGCTGCCAATTAGTTATAATCCAATTATGTATTTTTAAAGGTTATAAAATTTGTGATACCAGTAGTTTTTTAAAATGAATTCATAAAATTGCTATTCTGCCATCATAAACTTGTTGGTAGCCATATGGCCAGAACTGGAATAAATTTTGAATATATATATATATATATATATATATATATATATATATATATATATATATATATATATATATATATATATATATATATATATATATATATATACATATATATGTACAGGGCTCAATTTAATTTTTTATAAAGTCCCAAAAAAAATGTCCAATCAAAAATCATTTGGGTTGGACAGTGTCTGATCAAATTTTTAAAATAAATTTTTTATGGTTTTATGGAACCCAGTTAAGCAATTGAAATCTTTGTCATGTTATTCAGTTTATTTAACATTAGTGTAGTGAAGTTGTAGTTTCTTTCGATATTATTTAGAATATTTTATTGCATATTTTTGTTTTTTAATAAAATAGTTCCAAGTTTATATTGTATGTTTTTTAGATAGACTTAAATTTTCACACTGTAACTGACAATGCTTTTTATAATTTTTCTTTACAATTTGACAATGGCTGTTTTGTTGTTTTAACAATTTAAATGCAATAAAAAAATCATTACATTATGAATAACTTTTAATCATTGATCTTTTTTAAAGTTTTTATTTTACTTGAAGGCTTTAAATAAAATCAAAAATTGATTACAATGATAGATTAAAATAAACGCATCAAGTGTAAATTTAATGTTATACTAAAAAAATTTTTTAGTAGGTATGTATTTTTTATGATAAATATAAACGTTTGAAACTATTTTTCCATATCTTTCTATAAATCTTTTAAAAGATTTTTTTTTTAAGTTACTTTAAATTATTAATAAGTTAAATAAAATCTTCCCATGATTTAGTTGCTTTATTATTTTTTGTTTCTATTTTTACAAAGAATTGTTTAAAAGTTTTTTTTTTTAAACTTGACTTACTAATTAAAGCATGAAATGATTAAAAGTTACACTTTTAAAAAGACTAAGTTATTTTCTTAAAAGTTTTTTTTTGTTGCAACTTTTTGAAAGAAATGTTTATACAACTTAAAAATGTTATATATTTTTCTTTTTAAGAAATTAGTTTCGCTTTTCAATAAATTAAATAAAACTTGTTCATTTATTAAACAATCAATAGAAGTAAATTGTAAATGCGTTTTGCGTAACTTTAATTAAATGTTTAAGAATAATTTTTTTCAAATGCAATTAAAAACGCAACAAAAAATAATTTTAACTTCAAGATTTTTTAGTTTTATTTTAAAGCTAATTTATTTTCTTTTTCCTAGGAATTTTTTGCTTATTCTCAGTTTTTTCAATTTTTTTCCTAGTGTAAGTTAGAATAACGTTTCTTTTTTCAATGCATTTCTAAAACGTTTAAATCATCAAAACAGTCGTGGTTGTAAAAAAAAAAAAAATCATTCCCGTGGTCAGCAATAGCATTCGATCGCACACCATTCCTATCCAAGTTTTATTTTATAGAATTTAATTCCCGTCTGTCAAAAAGTCCGATTACTTTGTAAATTGATCGGACAATCTGAGGTTTTAGCTAAATAATGTCTGACCATTAAATTGAACCCTATATATATATATATATATATATATATATATATATATATATATATATATATATATATATATATATATATATTTAAATTTATATCAGGGCTCGAATTAAGTGATCGCGAATTGCGATTTCTAGAAATGCTTCCGGTTTTTAAAATTTTAGCTTTTTAAAAACCGTAAAACTGTTTTATCACTAAACTCAATAGATATCATTTATTAAAAAATATTTACGTCGATTATGATAAAAAATCTCAATGTAAAACCATATTATCACTATTATTTTTACTATTATTAAAGATTATAATTTAAACTTTAATATTTTAATTTATTTTATAAATCATCAGATAACACTAGAAAAATAAAGCACGATAAAGTACGATATAAATATATAAAAAAATAAGCGCTAATCACAACAATCTAAGGGACTTTAACAGTGATCGAATATTTTAAATAAAAGAAATTGTTAATTAAGATATAAAATACTTTTATATGTTATTTAAATCTCATTCAATATTTTCTTATAAATTTAACGCTTAAAACACTTTAGCTGATACGAATATAAAATTAAAAGACGAAGAAGTTAATATATAAAAACTAATATAATTTTTTTAATAGTTACTTTAAAACAAAACAAAAAAGAAACTCTAATAAAATATTTTAAAAATATATATTTTATATTTTTTTTTCTTATTAAATAATTAAATTCTAATTCAAAACGTTTAAATTTTTAAATAAATAATTCCATAAACTTTCCCCCTAAATAAAAATCTATTTTAATGTTTTATATAATGCTCAACTAGCTTTAGCATACTTTTTTATTAGTTGTTTTTTTCTACAAAGTTTTATACAATGCGCAAATAGCTTAAGCATAGTTTTTAATTAGTTGATTTTTAAATTACCCCAAAAGTTTTTCGGACCTTTAGTAATAATAATTTTTGTCTTGCAACTTTTTTTTATTTATGTTCCTTAAGTTACATATTATTAATTATTGTTTAAATAAAAACAAATAATAATATGTAAATTTTGACTGTTATTTTTTTTGCAGTAGTAAATTTATTGTTTTGCTTTTTCATTAATTTTTGCAATACGATAAACTGATGGTTTTATTAATAAAACAGTGTTTATGGTTTTTAAAAAAAATAAGAATTTAATGACCACAGATATTTCCGGATATTGCAATTCCCGATCACTTAACTCGAGCCCTGTATATATATTTTATATATATATATATATATATATATATATATATATATATATATATATATATATATATATATATATATATATATATATATATATATATATATATATATATACGTTTTACATATATATACTTATATATGAATTTTTGTTGAGCATTCAAACATATAATTTTATATTTTTTTAATAACTCAATTTATTTTCATCAATAAAATTCAAAAGGATTCATTTTCTTAGTTGTTCGAAATATCCATATGGCTACCATCATTTATTCAAAAACTGCTTATGTCAGCAAATACCATATTGCAAAAAATGATTAAGCAAGTTAAAATAATTTACACATAATGGAAATAATTTTTACTCAAAGCAATTATAATGTGAACAATAAAGGGTTAAATATAATTTATTATAAGATTATAAAAAAAATATTTGGTCCTTTAGTCGTAATATATAGTAATATATTAGCGCTGAATATTAAACAGTTCTTAGCAAATACCTCAAAATCTATTTTTCAATACTTAGGGTGTTCTAAATTGGCAGGGCAGAAGATGCTAAAAGTATAATGATGCTAAAAGTATAATTTTTATTTGATACAATAAAAAGGCATTATAAAAACCTTAAAATTGTCATAACATTTTCAAAAAAGGAAGTTATGCAATCACATGTCATTATATGGCCAACAAATAATATTTTGTTTTGGCTATACAAAATGGTGCTAAATGAAAAAGATTCTGAATTATATCTTCGAAATAAATAACATTAAAACTTTTATCTTTAGTAATGTTTTTATATTAGCAAAACAATTTTAGATAAAGTAACAATTTACTGATAATGATTTTTGTTTGTAGTATTATTGAATGTTATAAATAATTTTTTTAATTTACATAGTATAAATTTTATAAGTATGCATTTTTTATAATGAATGTTTTTAATAAAAAAAAATTATTTTGTTTTTATAAACAACAAATTTCTTAGATAATGTAAGTTTCTCTAATGAACTTTATATAAGAATCATTAAAGTTATTACACTTAAAAAGATAAAAAAAAAATTTGTTGAAAAAAAATCTTTTTGAAAGCCATTACAATTAAATAAATATTATTCACATGGTCCTATAATGGTGTGCAATTGAAAGCTTTCCTGACCAACACTGTTTCTGAAGTAAAAATAGTGTAAATTTTTTATTAAACTGAAGACCAATTTTAATGTGACTTTTAATAAATTTTGATGGTTGCATTTTGTTTTTGTTTGTTAAATTGCATACTTTATCATTGTATGGTAGTTTAAAATAATGAGTTTTATCCTTCAGGATCTCTTCCTGTTTGCATCTATTGTCATCCAAAAATTACAAATAGTTCTTCCAATATTCCACTGCAAGAAACAAAAAGTTTCTTGTGGAATAAATGATTGAGCATGGAGCTGACTATGTAATGGTTAGAGAAGATTCCTCATTTAATGGTATTTTCCAATTGTAAAGGATAGACGGAGTTTTTGGTACAAAAGAAAGATCACAAAGTTTTTGTTCTACAAGTTTTTACAGAGGAAAAAGCATATTGGCCTAGAATTTTTAAAAATCAACACCCTAAACATTCATCCAAAATATACAATTATAATCTTGAAATTTTTAGTTTGTAAGCTGATGTTTTTTTAAGTCAATAGCATTATAAATAGTAAAGCCAATTAAAAAATTAGTAAATTGATTTGTGAAACAAAATTAGTGAAAGGGCTAATTGGTGAAAATGATTTACTGTAAACTGGCAAATCTAGAATATCTTCTCATTTTTAAAGCTTTTTAAGTAATATTTTCCTTGTTTTTTGTCAACAAAAACAAATTTTCTTTGTGATCAGTCAAAATCAAAGAATGTGCATAATGTAGTTTTTCCATAGTCTCCAGGCATATGCAATTGAAATGTGACTCTTTGAAGCCAAGAGCAGATATTGTGTTGCTTATTAATAGGTGTTTACTTCAGATATTGTCAGCAATTATTACTATTTGTAAATATTTTTGATGGAAAAACTATACATTTATATATATATATATATATATATATATATATATATATATATATATATATATATATATATATATATATATATATATATATATATATATATATCTATATATATATATATATATATATATATATATATATATATATATATATATATATATATATATATATATATATATATTTAGTTAGTGTGTATATATATATATACACACTAACTAAAGCGTATTTTGATAAGCATTTGCTCACTTTTTTTGCTTACCTTAAGCTATACCGCTTTTTTAGAAAAAGAAGAAAAAAAAAACGAAGAATGATGAATGAAACCATTGCTGCCCCATCCCAAACCCTCAGTCGATGTAGCAGCACTCCACTGCGAGTCAGGCTATTTGTCAGTCAATGTATGTACTGAAGCTCCCAGCAGCAGGCTATTTCAGTATGATGTCAGATTGCTTACCTTAGTATGCAATACTATTTGTGTGTGTGTGTGTATATATATATATATATATATATATATATATATATATATATATATATATATATATATATATATATATATATATATATATATATATAGCCTTTTCAGGAGATGCATTACTTCTGAGAATGGTCATATATGACCACGCATACAATTTTTTTTTAACAACTTGGTCACAGTTTTTTGCATATATTGATAATTTGTAAATAATAAAAAACCAAACTGATTTAATTAGAAATTTAAAAATAAAAAAACCATAAACTGAAAAGAGAAATGAATATTAAAATAAATAAAGGATAAACCAGAGAAAATAAAATCGTAAAACTAATAGGTTTTATAATTTAAAAGTGTTTCAATTAATATCTTTAATTTCATTAAATGTTTGAAAGTATTTCAAGAAGTAGTTTATTCATTTGAAAGCATTTCAATTAGTAGTTTGTTTGTTGTTTTTTTTAGTTTTTATTTCTCTTTCCAGTTTACAGTTTGTTTATTTTTAATTTTAACTT